CAAACATTTCAGTCAAGAGAATTCATGTTTTACGGGATTTCATTTTTTTAAACATTGCAAAGTAAATGATATTTTTCCACAACTTGTAAACTTTAGGAGAGACTTCGCCAGTCGATCGAGTATCTTGCCAAAGACAGATCACAAGTGAAAAATTAAAATATACTTTTTATTTCATATTCGGGTTCTACTATCAAAACTGGAGTTATGAAAAATAAAAATAAACTTTCTGACTTATTCTGGCTGAGTTACAGATGCCAAAATGCCAGCTTCAACCCTCCAAACAGAATTTTGCTAAGAATTCGAAGGTCACATGCGATGGAGAATTCAAGTTTCCACAACCTGAACGCAAAAACTTTGTTTTAAAATTGGTGTAAAAGTTCCAAAACTTGAAAATAAGATGGCCGAGTAACCGCGAGTTTTCAGTTTTTTGAGATTTTAGTCATCGAAACTTCACTTTACAGAAATTCTTGATTTGTCGACTTTTACAATTCATTTTTAGATAAACTCTGTGTCTCACCTCGGAAGTTAAAACAAGTCAAAATGAAAAGTTGAATAAACTCTCATTATTGGATTATTAATACTATCTGTTGTGATCATTTGATTATTATCTAGGATAAGTAAATCACATATCTGTTTTATTACATTCCAACCGCTTATATGAACGCCTTTTGACAAGGTTGTTCTAATAATTTTTCGTTTCAGTTAAAAAAATAGCATTTTATCTATGCTTTGATTTCTTGTTTCGGTTGACCCCGCTTACCAAGATATAAATAAAAATCCTTTTCGCTATAGGATGGGCTCTAAGCACTGAAGAGAATAAACATACCAGGCTACTAAGGCTAAAGAATAGCCAACAATCCTAAATAACCGACCAACATTAAGTTTTCCGAAAAACTCTTGAAGAACCTAATTTCTTCAGGTTTTAGTTAGAATTTTTTCCGGAAAATCACGGAAACATACATTGTTCGTGCCAGTGTTTCATGCTGATAAGAATACCAACTGCACTTTACATTTGGATAAGTAAAGAAATTAAATCACAAAATATTCATATTTTTGAAAAGTCGGTTTCAACTAGTCTGCGTTGTTTGCAAAAATCTCAAATCACTCGAATTACTGATACGGTCGAGTCAGAATGCCATTCTAGACCCGAATTCTTTATATCTACTGTACTGAACAGTCTGTCTGTAATGCTACGCCCACAAGACACCAGCGACCATAGAAAAATATCCCTATGTATTTCCTGTAAAGATCGTAATATTTAGGATTAGATTATGATTTGTTTAGGCTTGTAATATGTTTCAATAATCGCATTTTTCTTATTAAGATCCTTTTTGGATTCTAGGAGATTCTTAGCAAAGATCAAAAAATTCATCAAGATTTTAGTAGGGGAATAATGAAACTATCACAACGAGATTGCCACGCATCTCTGTTGTATGCCGGATATTAACATGTATGCTCGTTTTGAACTTTATTCAGAAAAGCCCGTAGGATTTGATCCATTTTCTGAGAGAAAGTGTTTGAGTGAGTCTCACTACCGTATTTCTCTATAAAATAAAATGTTTATTTGTTATTTCCTTAGTGTTGCCTAATGAATTGCTTTCTAGACAGATGGAGATGGTTTATCAGATCTATCGACACAATCGATGCTCAAGATTCTAGTTATTTCAGTCGTTTTGAGTTCAAGATAGAATCATCATAGATTATTCTGAAATATTTATTTGTATGGATAACACCTATTTTCGATCCCAGTTTATTCCACATCTGTCCTTTTCTTAATCCATCTTCTCTTGTTCGAATGGCATAATGATTCAAGCGTACAAACTTCATATCTACATCGAGCGTTTTGGAGACATTCATTGTTGTCTTATGAAAATGTGTACCTAATTCTCTGATTCGTCCATATTTGATCATTGTTTTTCCATACGAATCATCACATGAATACCAACCATAATGAGTTGAACAATTAAATAGTCTCTGTAAATCGATAGTCACATATTCACCTAATTTAACATGGGGTTTGCGATAGACATTTGTAGTTAACAACGATCGATTGTACAAATCTTTATCTTGCTCATAAACATAACCGTATTTGACCTCCTCAAAATAAAACTGATCATAATTATGATAATTTTCATAAATGTAATCCGCTTGTTTAACGTTTAAATATTCGTCGACATCTAGAATCATTAACAAATCATCAGGCCTAATGGTATTGAAACAGGACAAACAATAACTAAATTCTTGAGCAAGATTTTGTTTATTTACAATAGCAATATTAAATTTTTTCACTAATTTCTCAATGATTTCAGTGGATCCAACATTGATAAGACAAATATTTCTAAAACCGATAACATTCAGATTATAGTCTAACCATTCTGATAAATAATAGTGACTTTCATTCAATACTTGAGT